GGCCAAGCCCCTTGGGTTCCCTGCCCCCCCCGGGGGAGAGCCAGAGGGAAGCCCCTGGGCCCCTGGCTTTTGGATCAGGGCAACCTCTAGCCCATTAGTGGCCCTTTTAGGGAGGTGGGCCAGGGGGATAGAAAAGCCCCCCCCTCCCCTTTCTCCGGCCTCTTCTTTTCAAATAAATAAAATAAATCTTGTTTTTTTTTTTTTTTTGACAGGCAGAGTGGACAGTGAGAGAGAGAGACAGAGAGAGAAAGGTCTTCCTTTTGCCGTTTGGTTCATCCTTCATGGCCCGCCGCTGCAGCCGGCGCACCGCGCTGATCCGATGGCAGGAGCCAGGATCCAGGTGCTTTTCCTGGTCTCCCATGGGGTGCAGGGCCCAAGCACCTGGGCCATCCTCCACTGCACTCCCTGGCCATAGCAGAGAGCTGGCCTGGAAGAGGGGCAACCGGGACAGAATCCGGCGCCCCGACCGGGACTAGAACCCAGTGTGCCGGCGCCGCAAGGTGGAGGATTAGCCTATTGAGCCACGGCGCCGGCTTAAATAAATCTTTAAAAATAAAAAAAATTTTTTTTCTTCCCAATCTTTTTGCCATGCATATAGTATTATTACATTCTACCAGTGAAATAGTTGTTTTCATAGCAAGTTTATTTTCACTTAAGTTATCATGAGTATCTTCCTAAGTTGTTAAAATTTGTCCTAAACTATTCAGTCATCCACACTCTAGCCATACAGGCACATAACATAATTTAATTCACCATTTCCTAATAGATGAATGTTAGAAATAATTTTGTGGTCATCCAAAGCACTATTTTCCCAAGTGAATTTTAAGCATAATTCCTTCACAATTCTTTACCTGATTATTACAATTACCAATAATGAGTGCATCAGCCAGAGACAACTGTCCCACAATCATGCCTTGCTCCAGCAATGGCGCTCCTGTTTCAGCCAGGCGATTTGATGTGATAACAATGGTATTATCATCGTTAAGTACCATAACAGGGTCTGCCTAAAGAAGAGGGCAGTGAGAAGTTAATGACAAAATATCAAGAGCATAAATTACTCCTTCTTGTTGACACAGACACACAACAAAAATCCTGCGCACACAGCCATTCATACTCATCCATGTTTCTTATCAAAAACTGACCTCAATGAAAGCTGCCACTTCTTGAAGCACCAAGTTCCATTCCACTTGATCTTCAGTATTAAAGCGGTGAGTATAATCCTCAATTTCATCTGACAATTCCTGATTTTAAAATATCACAAAGAAAAAGGATTATAAAAAAACATAAAAATGTATGGTTACATTGTACCATATTCTTGACAGATATTAATATAATTGTTCAATTACGATTAGTACACAATATTTTTTTTTAAAGATTTGAGAGGTAGAGTTCCTGACAGAGAGAGACAGAGAGACAGAAAGGTCTCCGATCTGCTGGTTCACTCCAAATGGCTGCACTGGCTGTAGCAGGGCCAATACAAAGTAAGGAGCTAGGAGCCTCCTCTGGGTCTCCCACATGTGTGCAAGGGCCCAAGCACTTAGGCCATTTTCCACTGATTTCCCAGGCCATAGCAGAGAGCTGGATCAAAAGAGGAGCAGCTGAGACTAGAACCAGCACCCATATGGGATGCTGGCACTTCAGGCCAGGGTTTTAACCCATTGCACCACAGTGCTGGCCCCAGGAAATAGTCTTAATAGTAAGTGGGGTTAGAGGATAATAGTACTATGCAGAGTTACTTCTGTCCAAACAAGCATGTTGGGACTGAAACTATGGCGTAGCAAGTTAAGCCTCCTCTTGCAGTACTGACATCCCATATGGATGCTGGTTTGAGTCCCCACTGCTCCACTTCTGATCTAGCTCCCTGCTAAGTGCCCAGGAAAGCATTGGATGATGGTCCAAATCCTTGGGCCTCTGCTCCTGCGTGGGAGACCTGGAAGAAGCTCCTGGCTCCTGGCTTCAGTCTGGCCCAGCCCTGGCCATTGTGGCCATCTGGGGAGTGAACCAGTGTATGGACGACTTCTCTCTTTGCCTCTGCCTTTCCCTCTCTCTAACTCTGCCTTGCAAATAAATAAATAAATCTTTAAACACAACTACAACAACAAAACAAGCACGCTGTGGCTAAGTATAAAAAATGAATATGTATGCCTCTGAAACTACTGACTAGAGTGCAACCAGAATGCAGCGTGCAGAAGTGAGACAGAAAGCGGCTCCTGGGTACGCTGAACTCAGTTACCACAGTGAATGAAGGGAAAAACTAAGTGTTGTTCACAACACCGTTGTGGACCATCTGTTCTATTTTTGGACTCAAGTCAATTATTTTCTCTTAAACCAAATTTATTTTTGTTTCTCACAGCTGTGAAATAAAAAACAAGGTGCAGGGACAAAACCTAGGAATTTAGATAATTATCTCCGATTCATTATAAACGTGTTAAAATGTGGAGAGCTGGAAAATATTTTTTCATTTCTGCTCAGAATTAATATAGTCTTCTATATTTAGATACATAAAAAGTACTGGAGGGGCTGGCACTGTGGCACAGCAGGTTAACGCCCTGGCCCGAAGCGCTGGCATCCCACATGGGTGCTGGTTCAAGACCTGGCTGCTCCACTTCCGATCCAGCTCTCTGCTATGGCCTGGGAAAGCAGTAGAAGATGGCCCAAGTCCTTGGGCCCCCACACCCGCGTGGGAGACCCGGAAGAAGCTCCTGGCTCCTGGCTTCGGATCAGTGCAGCTCTGGCCGTTGCAGCCAACTGGGGAGTGAACCATGGATGGAAGACTCTCTCTCTCTCTCTCTTTCTCTCTCTCTGTGTAACTCTGACTTTCGAATAAATAAATAAATCTTTAAAAAATTTTTTAAAAAAATGAAAACAAAAATAAAAAGTACTGGAACCGAAAATCTACTTTTCAAAGACAAGCCACCTGTAAGCAGTTAGAGAGATTTCACTCTTTCACAGTGGCTTTACCTTCACTAGCTCCTTCACGACGTCCATCTTGTTGAGAAGAAGACAAACCACGATAAACCTCGCGTAGTACCGCAGCTTCTTGACCACCAGCTCAGGCCTGCGGAGCACAGATGGAAGGCCACTCGTTACATTCAAAAAGGGTCTATGCTTTCTTGATTTTTCCAATTTTCCGTGGCTAAATAACGCATACAACATTAACACAGGTATTTCTTCCTTTAGCATCTGTCTCACTTTTTTCTATTTCCTTTCCTGCCTACTGTTAAAATGGTTAATAATGTGTGCTGAAGTTGCACATTCTCCTTATTTTCATTAAAAACATCTTTCTCAATGTTTGAACAAGCAAACTCTACCTGCTGTAGGCCTGGTCCCCACAGTAAGTGGATCTAACAACATGGTGTAATTCCTTATCCCTTTCTCCTTTCAGGTCATGTCAGCTAGGATTCTGTCCCCTTTCTACTTTAATTATCTTAACTAACCACCAGTCAGACAACTATAAAGTCCACCTCTAGGAAACAAGGAGTTAATTTTTTCTCACTAGTGCTTCGTGTACACCTTTCTTATAGTTTCAACTTTACTCTTCATGGTTTTTTTCTGTCACCAAAACCAACCACATGCCGCAGGGCCAACAAAACTTTAGGGGCTTCTTGACTTTCTTGACACCTGAGCTGTCTATTTAAAAGAATGGCTGATCATAAATGCAAGATTTCTGGGTGTCTGGGAACACACAGTATTTTAGGCTCTTTAGCCGATTACAGTGTCAGAAGTGGATCCATAGGCTGGCATTGTGGCATAGCTGGTTAAGCCGCTTCCTCCAATGCCAGCATCCCATATAGGCACCAGTCAATTCACAGCTGCTCTCTGTCTGATCCCCCTCCCTGCAAAAGGCCTGGGAAAAGCAACAGAAAATGGTCCAAGTGCCTGGGCTCAGGTCACTCCTGGGGGAGACCCAGATGAAACTCCTGGCTCCTGGATTTAGGATGGTTCAAGCCCTGGCCACTGTAGTCATTTGGGGAGTGAACCAGCGGACAGAAAACCTCTCTGTCTCTCCGTTTTTAAAAATAAAATCTTAAAAAAAAAAAAAAAAAAAGACTCAGACCTGAAGGAAAACTAGTAGAAGGATGACATGAATACAGACTTGCAAAATTAATGATTTAATTCCTATAGTTTTTGATTAACAACAACAACAAAAATCAGGTTTTATGAATCTCTATCAGGGATCATACAACCAACAAATTTTCTGCAGAGGGTCAGATAGTAAATATTTTTAGCTTTGCAGACTGCATATAGTATGTGTGATATAATTGTCTTTCCCTTTCTTACAACGCCTTCAAAATGTAAAATCAATTCTAAAACAGCATGGGCTCAATCTGCCTTCAGGCCATAGTTTGCCAACCCTTTAGTAAATAAACGCACAGAGATGGGTAGAACTGTGCTAAACAGCAAAGCACAGATGAAATGTGTTCAGTGCTGTCCACTCACGCACATGACCAGCCATCCCAATCAAGACTGATAACCTGACCCACAGCCCACTGGCCACCGCCATATCCAACTGCGGAAGAAAAAGTCCGACCCTCATTGGAAAGGTCTACATCGAGTTCTCCTTATCCCAACCTCCACCAGCAGGAAGTGCCAAAGCTTCCCAGTCCACGTACATATTCCCACCCTACAACAACTTCAAAACTGTCAACACCAATGCTGACACCAGAGCTCCTCACAACCTTCTGGACTCCTCCGTTCCAGCCTCTGTCCAACCTGCCAGGCCCACTGCTCCTGAGACTCGAACTTGAACTATGCCTTTGCCTGTGAAGCTGTTCTCCCTGATGGCTAATTGCTACATCCCTTACAATGCTCAGAAACTTTGTCTTCTCCAGGTCCCACTCTGGCCAGGTTCAGCCCTGGCTGATTGCAACAGTCAGGGTTTGCAGCAACTAGGATGAGGGATTGCATGGTATGATATCCTCCATTAAGCAAGATGGGCCCATGGAATATTCTGAGAGGTGTCCCTGCCTGAGTGACCGCTGAGATGGGCCATCTCTCCTGGCCTCTAAGTAATAATCTTTAGGTGCTGAGACAGTGCAGAAAAAGTAAACTCACTCCCTATACAAAGAGAAGATTTTTGCCTTTTAAATGAACTGTGAAATAATGGACTAGGTTCTTATTTGGTTTTATTTGCTGACGGCTGCTGGTTGCTACTTTGGCTGGCACCTCTTGCTCTATGTAAACGAAGACACAACCCACGGACTGAGCAAAGCCCAAGCACAGAGAACAATGTCAGGATCTCCTGTGCTGGATTATCCTTTGATTCCAATTTCCTGGTGCGAAGCAAGAGATTTTGTCATCCTGTTTCCAAACAACCTTACCTCTGTTAATCTGCCCTGCTCTAGGAGGCAGCAAAGGAAAATAATTCAGATAAGGTGTTTGCTATTAATGTTGAAAATGATTGCAACAAATCAAACTGTTGGGCTTTAAGCCAGGGGGGGACCCAAGGCCAATTTCCCTTCTGGCAAGTTAGAAAATGCAGAAAAGTGAATTACACAAGATATTTTGCTATTACTTAAAATAATTCTCACCCTGGATGCATTTTTAATGCTGATAAAATGTTGCACAGCCCTTTTGCATTTTTCCTCTTTTCCATTTCTTAGGAGATAGATCATTTCCCTCATCAAGAATTAAGACAGGTGGGGCCGGCACTGTGGTGTAGTGGGCTAAGCCTCTGCCTGCAGAGCTGGCAGCCCATATGGGTGCAGGTTTGAGTCCCAGCTGACCTGCTCTATTTCTGATCCGGCTCTCTGCGATGGCCTGGGAAACCAGTTAAAGATGGCCTGGGTGCTTGGGCCCTGCACCTGCATGGGAGACCTGAAGAAGCTCCTGTCTCCTGGCTTCAGAACAGTTCAGCTCCAGCTGTTGCAGCCAGTTGGGGAGTAAACCAGCAGATGAAAGATTTTTCTCTCTCTCTGCCTCTGTCTCTGTAACTCCGCCTTTCAAATAAATAAATCTTTATTTAAAAAAAAATTAAAATAGAGGCTAGTGCTGTGGCATAGTAGGCTAAGCTTGCGCCTGCAGCGCCAGCATCCCACATGGGTGCCAGTTGTGTCCTCTTCTGATCCATCTCTCTGCTATGGCCTGGGAAAGCAATAGAAGATGGCCCAAGTCCTTGGGCCCCTGAACCCACGTGGGAGACCCAGAAGAAGCTCCTGACTCCTGGTTTCGGATCGGTCTGGCCCAGCTCCCATCGTTGCCACCGTTTGTGGAGTGAACCAGTGATGGAAGACTTTTCTCTCTCTCCCTCACTAATAAATAAGTTAAATCTTTAAAATAAAAAAAGTATTAAGACAAATTGTGGAACACAGACACAAATGAAAGAAATTAGGGTTGGGGGGAAATGTGAAGCAACTATAAGAAAAGGTAAAAGAAAAGTAACCGAAGAAACTGACATCAGAGGATGACAAAAAGACATCAGAGGAAGGAAGAATCCAACATCTGCATTACCATTGTTGTAGCAAACTCCCCTAGACAAGTTTGAACAAGATGCACAGAAAACAAAAGGGATGTACAAAAGTGGGACTTTCCCCCAAAATCTCGCTGGTTAGCTGGAAGCTGACAATAGCCAACTGCAAAGTGTTCTCCTGAGAAACAGCCAAAGCTATGTTTCCCTCCACTGCTCAGAAGACAATCTTCCCACTAGGAGAAGAGAGAGAACATCCAGACCTTGAACTTTCCCTTCCAAAAATTCCTAGAATGCTAGCAACGAAGATTCTCCAGCACTCCCCTGATCCTTCCATAACTGCACCTTCATCTGGAATCAGTAACAGCACAATCCACTGGCACGCATACGTCCCGGGCCCCTATTAGAAGACAATCTTCTGAAATGAACTTGCACACTTCCTTCTCTTTTTGCCTCTCCCACCCAAGTGTCTGCCACAGAGTCAGATATAGATGTTCAAAAGATTTTTACTGGGAATGAATCAACTCTACAGGATTTTGTTTGTTTTTTGACAGTACAGCTTCCCAACTGCAGAACACTGGCGGGTTTACAAAAGAAAATTCAAAACTGCATTAGCAGTCTTTTCCTTGTCCTGCAGGACAGCTGTCAACAGGCTTTTGAAGATATTTGAATTAAGACTACACAAACTGGGGGCCGGCGCTGTGGCACAGTGATTAAAGCCCCGGCCTCTGTGCCAGAATCCCACATGCACGCTGGTTCAAGTCTCGGCAGATATTTGAATTAAGACTACACAAACTGGGGGCCGGCGCTGTGACACAGTGATTAAAGCCCCGGCCTCTGTGCCAGAATCCCACATGCACGCTGGTTCAAGTCTCGGCTGCTCCACTTCCAATCCCGCTCCCTGCTAATGCACCTGGGAAAGCAGTGGAGGATGACACAAGTGATTGGGCCCCTGTACCCACATGGGAGACCCAGAGGAAGCTCCTGACTCCTGGCTGTGGATTGGCCCAGTTCCAGCTGCTGCTGCCATTCGGGGAGTGAACCAGTGGATGGAAGACCTCTCTCTGTCTATACCTCTCTCTGTAACTCTGTCTTTCAAATAAATAAAATAAATCTTTAAAAATAAAAAAGATTACACAGGCTAAAAAGGAACAAAGGTGGTTAGCTAAGCCTTACTGTGTAGCTGTTTCTTTTCTAGGAAGGCTGTGTGACCCCTGTTTCTCATAGAGAGGTAACTCCCAGCCCTCCTTTGTGCTCTGAATCGAGTCTGGTATTGTGACGTCTGTTACAGCACCGACATCCAGTACTGCTTTCAGGTGATCTATACGTCTGAATGCTTTAGATGGCCTGGAGATAGCATGAACACAAGTTTTAAGTCAATGTGTGCTTTTCTGTATAATTCCCACACAGACTGATGATTTTGAATGTTCTATCCTCGTGTTTCCAGAAGCACAGTGGAGGCATACCTGTCTTCTTTGTTGACTTGAGAATAATACGATCTCTGTCTGATGGCAGAGTAGAAGGAGAAAGCCTCGTTCAGGTAGCTGGTCTCAGACGTGCGTAAGCTGTGAGACAAAGAGCATTTTGAAACAGCTGGAAACTCTTCACCATGAGAAACTTGCTCCATATTGCCTCACTGTCCTAAATTTCAACCAGCAAAGCAGTATGTCATTCTTAACATATATAATAATAGTAATAATAATAACATCCCCCTGGTGCTGGTGCTCCCAAGCCTTTAGTGATGTCAACCCAAAGATCACATTCTTCTCATTCTTTGCAGGGCTGCCCCGGTGAAACCCACCACCCTGCTGGACTGCACCTTCGTGACCTCCCCAGGTGCGTGTCATCACTTGTCCTTCGGCCCATTCAGTTTCTTCCCTGAGAGAAGTGAGCAGTGGATTGAGCCATCCATACAGATCCTCAGGGGGTGCTGACAGGCCATTTTTTCTGTTTAACATTCACAGTTTTACGAGGGACTTTTAGAGCACACATACTACCCAAGGGAGGGATTTTAATGGTGGGACTGGGGGATGGCATGCCAAAACAGAGCAAGAGGAAGGGATTGTCTTGCCTTTTAAGTTATAAATGGTCCAAGCCTTTTCAATTGTCTGCTATCTTTCCCTGATAATGAAATTTAAAGTCCTACAGGAATTCTCTTCTTTCCTTGACTTAAGGGTGGTTCTACAAAGGTACTTCAGAAAGTTCACGGAAAAATGGAATCAAAAAGTAAGTTTATACTCCACTAATCCACAGAGGCACAGTCCAAAGATAAAAGCCATCACAGGGGGGGAAAAAAGGCCAACAAGTATCTGCACAAATGCCCAAAAATAAATACAGCAACTCAAGAAACAAGAATAAGCAAGACAACATGACACCTCCAAAGGAACACGACACTTCAACACCAGAATGTGAAAATGAAGAGACTGAAGAAATGCCGGAAACAGAGTTTAAAAAATTGATCGAAGGATTACCTAGAAGTAATCAGAAGCAAATCCATAAATTAATGAAATCCATACATGACATGAATGAACATGTTTCCCATGAAATTGAGAGTTTAAAGAGAAATCAAAATGAAATATTGGAAATGAAGAATTCAATATATCAAATAAAAAATGTGGTGGAAAGCCTTAACAGACTAGGTGAGGCAGACGGAAGAATATCCAAGTAAGAAGGCTGGAACTTTTATAGTAAGACCCCAAAAAAGAAGAAATTAGAAAACTATAAAACAGTGTTGGAGATATATGGGATACTATCAAACGGCCCACCATATGGGTCTAAGGAGTTCTGAAGGCGTGGAAAGACAGAATGGATAAGAAGGCCTTTTTAGTGAAAAAATTACAGAAAACTTCCTTAAATTAGAGAAAGAAAGGGACATCCAAGTACAAGAAGCACAAAGAACTTCTCATTGACATGACCAGAAAAGATCCTCACCATGACACATTGTAGTCAAACTCTCGAAGTGAAACATAAAGAGAAGATTGTAAAATGCACCAGAGAAATGCCAGATTACTTTCAGAGGGTCTCGAGTTAGACTCACAGCTGACTTCTCATCAGAAACCCTACAGGCTAGGAGAGAATGATGAGATATATTCCAAGACTTAAGAGACAAAATTATCAACCCAGACTACTGTACCCTGCAAAGCTCTCATTTATGATGAAGGTGAAATAAAGGACTTCCGTAACAAGCAGAAATGGAAAGAATTTGCCACCACTCATCAGCCTTACAAAAGATGCTTAAGGATGTGCTACACTCAGAAACACAGAAACATGGTCATCACTATGAAAGAAGGTGAAGGCAGAAAATTTCCCAGTAAAAGTACAGAGGAAATCCAAAGTAAACAATAGGAACATTTATGGGAAAACGGCAGGGAAATGGAAATTCCTCTGGTTTTTCTTCTGTAGTTCCTTAGATTTCAGACTATCCTGTTACTGGGAATCTGGCCACATATTAAGGCATCTGTTTTTGAATCTTTTTAAAAGAAGACATTGATTTTATTGGGCCATCTTTCTTTTTTCCTTCTCTTACTACATACCATTTGTGTGATTACAGTGTTAAGTCTTAGTTCTTATGTCTTTGGGAAGAAGAGTATTATCAGTTGTTTTAAATAAAATTTTCCCTGTCTTTGAAGCACAGTCCACACGTTTGTTGCTGTCACAAAGGAAAATACTTAGGTTTGCATTACTTGAATACTTGAAAATTGAAATTGATAAAGATACATCATGCAATGAATTAGGTTTTTGTTTCTGGATAAAATTAGAAATGAACCATGCGTGTACAGGATGAAAATGGTAGTGCTTATAAGCACTATGAACCTTTCTGTGTTCCAGGCTTCCAAAATTCAAGTGTTTACTAAACTTTTCTCCTGAAACCCTACTCTTCTTTTCTGTGCGTCATGAATTTTCTCTTGTTATCGATGTTGTAAAACAGCAGAGTTAAAGTGTTATCATATCTGTGTTCATTTTGAATCCCATAGCTTTTCTAGTTAGGAAAAGAATAGTCTCAAAAATACCCTTAGTGTCACTTTTTTGGTTAATATTTTACCTACTAATGATATTATTTTAGATACCTTTAATTATTTTAGTAAAGTATCTACAAAAATGTAAAATGTTACGTATTGTATTTGAATTAGTTAATGAAGAGTAAGGGAAAAAACTAGCTTACTGAGACTGCAGAGGTTCCATTAGTTAAACTTCAAAATGTGTAATAAAGGAACTTTCAGAGATCGGGTTAGACCCGACGGTATCCTTGAAACCAGCTCCAGTGACGTGAAAAGGAACCTGGGAAGCAGTGCAGGACATATGAGGGCATTTACTTGCCATCGTTGTGGTTGTGGTGTGCTCATACTTAAACACAGTAGTGACACACTGACCTTCTTGTTGCCCAATAATCTGGGGTACTGTCTTGCATTTATCTGTACTAAAATAACTCTAAATTAATGGAAACTACAAAGAAGAAACTTTATGACTATACAATTTATTCCTCCAGCAGGGAGAAACCCTACACACAGATCTGGATGCTGGGTTCGAGTCAGGACAGTATTTTATTCTTCCCACGACCACATCACTTACTAATAATGGTAGTATAGCTGCCCAATCTTGGAAGCAATTTCCCCTATTTGCCACCGCTTCAAGCCATACCGATTATCCAAGACTTGTCTGTTTTATATAGGAAACAAGAAAATACAAGTAAGAGATGACAAATTTCAGAAAGAACCAAATCTGTAATTAGCAAAGCTCATGAATTTTTCATGAGATTTCAACATAATCATTCAAGTAGATTCAAAAAGCATTTATTAAATGTCTATTTAAAGTAAGTCAAAATATAAAAAGAAACCACTTTGAGTTCTGTTCACAAAAATGAGAAGAAACAGGCCCCTTTCCACCAATTTTGGCCAGTAAACAACATGCATTCTGGAACAAAACACAGGGTTGGTGCTGTGGCATAGCAGGTAAAGCCACCGCCTGCAGTGCTGGCATCCCACATGGGCACCGGTTTGAGTCTCGGCTGCTCTACTCTTGATCCAGCTCTCTGCTACGGCCTGGGAAAGCAGTAGAAGATGGCCCAACTGCTTGGGCCCCTTCACCCACGTGGGAGACCCAGAAGAAACTCTTGGCTCCTGGCTTTGGATCAGCCCAGCTCTAGCCGTTGCAGCCATTTAGGGAGTGAACCAGTAGATGGAAGACTTTTTCTCTTTCTCTCTGCCTCTGCTTCTCTGTAACTCTACCTTTCAAACAAATAAAAAAAAAAAAAAAAAAGACCAAAACACAACATATCCCACCTATGTCAGGGTTAACTTGCAGCATTCTAGATAGAGCACTGTCTTTAAATATCAGACCAGAATATGACATCTTAAAGTCTTAGGTAAATAAAAGAAAAAAATCAGTTTGCTTTCATATGGGTCACAAGCATGAGTACATAAATACAGCAGTTAGCAAGCTTCGAGGTAAAAGCACCGGGGCAGTCGCGGCCACACTGTGACTGCTGGGAGAGGGGCCTTCAAGTGTCCTGTGACCGGGGGCTCCTTTACCGATGCTGCTGCTGGAACTTCCACAGCTTGGTGTAGACATCAAAAGTTCTTCCAAAGTAGGACTGCCACTGCTTCTGCCCATATTGTGGCAAATCTCTGAAATCACAAATAAGCATGTGTTAATTTCACATCTCTTAGTCTTGTTATGGTACAAACTGGACAGGTACACAGTACTTACATCCAGGCTTTCTTTAAGTAGAAAGCAGACAGCTGTAGGCGCAGCCGTCGTTCTCCAGCTGGGAGCCTATCCTTCGCAGAGGCCTCCCTCGGGGCTCCCAGCACGGCACCCCTTTCTATCCGAGATCTTATTCACACGCACTCACATACTGGTGACCACCAAAAGCTGATCTTCAGGTAAGAGTTAGGCAGTGTGAAAAACACTGCTTTAGGGAATATATCTAGAAGTGAGTGGGTAGCTATTTCTGTATCTTCCTTTTTGTTTTTAGTTTTTTAATTGTAAGATTAACAATTTCTAACATTTTGCTATACTCACTTCATATGTGGGTACACACATATACATATATGCTGTTTTGTCTTAAAAGCAAGGGTGTTAATATCATAAAATGTGGGGTTCATAACAATGATCATAACACGGGGAAAGGAAAGAATGTTGTCATAGGCATGGTATAATTCAGTGATGCAATATTTATATACCAAATACTATGACACCCACACAATTTTTATACTCTCTCCATATATATTAACTCCTACAAATGAGAAAAATCATATCTGCACCCTCCTTTTTTATTTATTTGGCTTTTAAAAATTATATATATTTTTTGACTGTTAAGACAAAACTAGTATTGAAGTCCTCAAATTTTCCCTTATACATGTTTCTCAGCTCTTTGTTCTCTTCCTTGGTCTATTTTTCTATTTTCTCATTAACAATCTTCTAAATAGTACAACTTTGAAAGTCTAGCATGCTTCCTCTGTTTCAGGAGTGCCTTGTCTACTCTTGGTTCCTTGTATTTACATGTAAATATAAACTTTAAAAATCAATGTATCAGAGTCCTACTAAAAAACCTTAATGAATTCTACTGAAAACAAAATGAATCTAGAGATGAATTTAGTGCCAACAGTATCTCTTTCTATTTATGTTGAAAATATTGTCATGAAACAAACTTTATAACTCTTTCCATACAGATCTTGGTTCAAATTATTACAAGGTCTCAAACTTTTTTATTGTTTTTGTGAAAGGTACTACTAAATTATACACTCTCAACTAACCCCATCCCAAATGCAAAATGAAAGTATCTCAATAAAGTTGTTGTTTCTTTTTTTAAAGTATCATAATAAAAAATTAAAAGAGATCGGGCATTCAGTCAAGATGCCTGTGTTCCATATCCGAGTGCCTGGTTTCCGTGCCTACCTCTGGTTTCATACCCAGCTTCCTGCTGCTGTGGACCCGGAAGACAGCAGGAATAGCTCAGGTGGTTGGGTTCTGCCACCTACACGGGAGACCTACACTGATCACTCACTGAAGGCACTTGGGGAGTGAATCAGGGGATGGGAGAACACCCCCTCACACACCCACACTCTCCTCTACATAAAGAAATAAAAATATTGAAGAAGCACCCAAGAATGGTACATCTTTTGCAAGCACTTAGACATAATTATAATACAGCTCACTGAGGACAGAGGTCCTGAATGGGGAGTTAGTGCACAGTGACTCCTGTTGTTAATTTAACAATTAACACTCTTATGCATGATGGCAGTGATCCCTGAGGCATTTGACATGAGCAGCCTAAAAAAAAGAAGTGAAATTAACTTCAAGATGCAATGACTTCGAACACTCCTTGTCTTGACTGGTGAGGAACAGGTTTTTTTTTTTGTTCTTTTTTTCCATGTAAATTGTTGAACTCTTTACTTAGTATAGAGTTGGTCTTCTGTGTATAAAGTTAGTTGAAAATGGATCTTAGTGGAGAATGGGACTGGGAATGGAAGAGGGAGGAGGAGGAGAGGTGGGAAGAATCATTATATTCCTAAAGTTGTACTTATGAAATGCATGAAGTTTGTATTCCTTAAATAAAAGGTTTTTTTGGGAAAAAAAAAGAAATAAAAACAGAGGAAGGCCATCAACAGATGAGATTTCAATAGTTTTCTGGAAGAACAACTTTAGATGAAGAAATACCAATATTCTTTTCTGCCATTTGACATCCTGGCAGGAAATAGCACACTCAAATGGGTCACTGAGAAAGGGTTAATAAAGCGCTGCAATGGATTGAACAAGTACAAGGAAACCGACAGGGAATGCTGAGGCGCCCAGGAGCGAAGGCACCAGCCCTTAGATCTGACAGCAAAGAGGGAGCAGGAAAGACAGACTCTCCAGTGGAAGCCAAGTGGAAGAGAGAGGGCAAAGAAACCTGCTGGTGAGGCCACTGCAGGTGCGTTTCCTAGGGTGTGCACAGAGGCACAGGGTCAAAAAGTAGGTCTGTAGGGGCCTCCTGTGCAGCCCCATGACTTAAATAACAGAGCAGACAAAGCTGGAACCTAGAAAAACGTGAAAGGAGCCAACCCACAGAGGGAGGGGAAAAGGAATAAAAGGTGCTGTTTCAAACTAAGAGATCAACTAAAGGTTTATGTAAGAACCTTTCTCCTCTAACGCCATCCCAAATGCAAAATACCTAGGCAGTCACATTGCTTTCCAAGGCACAGAGGGAGGGAGGGAGAGGACCGGGAGAAAGCAGAGGAAATGAGAGAGGCTTTTCACACAAGAAACTAGATCAGCTCCTATGTGGCGTGAGATGGGGGTGGCTCCAGGATCAGGCCGACTTGCTCTGCATGGAGAGAATCTTTCAGGCAGCAAACCCTGCCTGAGCACTATGGTCACACACAGTGGTCACGGTCAGACCCTCGGTTAAGTCACTGAAGGAAGGTCTGCAACACGACAGAACATGGTTAATTTGGAGCTCAAGATAAAAAAAAGAATAATCTACTACTCTCGGAATTTCTTCTTACAATTTTTATATATTTGAGAGGCAGAGACAGCTACACAGAGCATGCTCCCATCTACTGGTTCCAAATGCCCACCACAGAGCCAAAACCAGACCTCCCACAGGGGTTGCCTCCCAGGGTCTCTACTGGCGAGGCTGGCAGCACGAGCTGGAAGCAGGCTCACGATGGAATGAGGGCATCTTCACCAACAGGCCAAACACCCGCCCCTTAGAATTTCCCCATTCATCAGAGTAAGAACAAGATTTACTGAGCAAATGGTTTCAGAACAAAGAGGTCAGAAATTTTTTAAATTATGGTTGCTGAAATAAAACAGTTCTTCATTGGAAGAGATTTAAGACACTGTTGATGAAATCTACAAGAAAGCTAAAGAAAAAACAAGATGGAAAATAGATAGTAAAGTGCCAGAGAAAAGATGTAAGAGCCAAAAACTGGAAGAAGAACAAAGTTCACAAACTGAGGACCTACCAAGCACCAACTAGATGGAGAAAAATTACTCATCTTTGTGAAATTTCAAAACAGGAAGAATAAATCACAAGGCTATAAGAATCAGACTGCACCAGACTTTATCAGCAACACTGGATTTAAACCTAGGAAAACTGCTTCCAAAGCTCTATTAATCAGGAGTTCAGCGCTAAAAAACAAAATGTTCAGACAGGGACCGATTGAGAAACGGCCCCTACACGCACCCTTTTAAGAAGGTGCCGAGGGGGCTGGCGGTGTAGAGTAGCGAGTGAAGCCGCCGCCTGTGATGCCAGTATCCCATATGGGAGCTGGTTCATGCTCCAGCTGCTCTACTTCTTTTTTTAAATTATTTAATTTTTTAATAATTTAATTTTTTTAAAATTATAACAGGTAGAGTTATAGACAGAGAGAGACAGAAAGAAAGGTCTTCCTTCCGTTGGTTCATTCCCCTTAAGTCTGCAACAGCCAGAGCTGAGCCAATCTGGAGCCAAGAGCCAGGAGCTTCTTCTGGGTCTCCCATGTGGGTGCAGGGGCCCAGGCACTTGGGCCATTTTCACTGTTTTCCTGGGCCATAGCAGAGAACTGGATCAAAGAGCAGCAGCTGAGACATGAGTCGGCGCCTATATGGGCTGTCGGAGGCTGACCCCACTACACCACAGCATCGTCCCAGATCCAGCTGAATTTGAATCTAACAATGAATTCCTTTGAGTCATACAGTTGAAATACAGAGAAGGAAAGGGAACCAGAGCTCAATTCCTAGCTCTGCTCCACACGATTTGCACACAGTCACATGTCAAAATGCTATTTATCATTCCTTTTCAACCTTTACATTCTATATGTAGATAACATGCAAGATACTTGACTATGATTCTGGAAGGTTAGGTAAATACTATGTTCCATGAATAAAGATGTAAAGTTATGACTGACTGAAACTGAGGATGGAAGAAGAGCAGGAAAGGTGGGAGACACAGAGGGTGACACATTTCCTCATCTCGAAAAAGGAGGAGTCAAAGAGATGCCATCAATATGGTCTACGGGTTAAGGGAGTGGCTGCTAACCATCGAATCTGGGCATGGGAATGCTACGCTTCACATGCTCATGTGTTATGTGGGACAATCACAGGGGCTAAGTCACAGGCTTAGTGAGAAGAGGGAATGAGCCCACGCGTGTAAAGAGCAAGGAGCAACAGACAGCACTGAACAGAAACTGAGAAAGTGCCAGACGGTACCACTGCCATGATTAAGATGCGGAAAGGGCACCACTGGTAGGGAACTGTGGATGTGAATAAGAAAATGAGAAAACCGAGAGCAGTGGTAAGATCAGCTCGGAGGGTGTGGGCGGGGGGAATTAGACAGCCGTGGGAAGTCCACGGAACAGGCCCACCACGTGGTAAGCACTCACAAGGTAGTCACCTGCAGTAATGCTACCATGCCACTAGCTCTGCGGGGAGTAAGAGGCAGGGAGAAGAGCAGCTTTAAGTCAAAGGAAACCTTCACTTGTCATAATGCAATCAATGGAAAATGTACAAACAAACCAGGGAACAGAGCTTGAGAGACACAGGCATACATGGGGGAACTAAAATTGGAAATGGGCCAGCATTGTGGCATAACAGGTTAAGGCACTGCTTGTGATGCCAGCATCCAGCACTGGAATGCTGGACTGAGTCCTCCCTTGGCTGC